CCCCCAGCCCCACGGGCACGCCTCGGACACCAGCCTGCAGGTGGGGTGTGTGGTCTCGGGCACAGCCCCATCGTTACCCACCCCCCAGCCCCACGGGCACGCCTCGGACACCAGCCTGCAGGTGGGGTGTGTGGTCTCGGGCACGGAGCCATCATTACCCACCCCCCAGCCTCACGGGCACGCCTCGGACTCCAGCATCAAGGTGGGGCAGAATGTGGCCGAGGCCCCCCCTGCTCCCAGGCCACGCTGGAACGTTCACGGCCATGCCTCCCAGTCCCACTTCAGACTGGGAGTACTGGTGTCAACTCTGCAGCCCCCCCAGCCCCCCCCGGGCACGCCAACTGCGGGGAACGGGCAGAGGGGCGTCGTGCAGGGTAAGAGTACGTCCTACACACACGGCCATGCAGGCCTGTACACTTAGACAGCAGCTCCACACTGGGGGTGTTCACCCCATTCCTGCAGTTCTTCTCGAGCGTTTCTGGGCTCAAAAGAACATTTAATCCTTTTCAAGGTCTTTTAAACCTGATGTTTAAAGAGGTGCTCTGGATGGAAGATACAACCATTACAAATCTTCTCAGGGCTGGATAGAGATGTTCACTGTCTCTAGTAAGTGAAATGAGCAGAAATAAATCACGAGGGGTTTTGTGTGAAATGAAAGCCAGGAGACCACGTGTAGCCCACCAGCTCTGACCTTAAGTGTTACTTTTAAGGGCGGTGTGGTGGCTCTGTGGCTCAGGATCTGCGCCTGTGGCTGGAAGGTTGCCGGTTCAAATCCTGCTGCCGGCAGAGGAATCCTACTCTGTCGGGCCCCTGAGCGAGGCCCTTAACCCCAGCTGCTCCAGGGGCGCTGTACAATGGCGGACCCTGCGCTCTGACCCCAAGCTTCTCTCCCTGTCTCTGTGTCTGTGTCTCATGGAGAGCAAGCTGGGGTATACGAAAAGATGATTTCCTAATGCAAGAAATTGTATAGGGCCAATAAAGTGATCTTATCTTACATCCCTGGGAAATGGTCATTTTAAAGCTCCAGCCAACACCCTGTCAAAGTTTGTTTGGTAAGACTAGTTTGCCTTTTGTTTTCTTACAGTGCTATGACTGTAGGAGAACACATGTACACCTGTGTGTTTTCCTTACTTCTTTGTATTGAGATCAGTGGGTGCTAAGAAAGAAGAATAGGAGAAAGCACAGCGCTTGAACTTTGTGAGCTAGTCAGCAAAGGAAATGAAGTGCCTAACTAAGACGTGTAGGCGACTGCACCCTGAGTTGGGCAGCGGTTCTGTGTTTCCCAGTGCCTGTGCAGTGTGGCTCTGTGTTGGGATATCCTGTATGTGTCTGTACCTGCAGGCCCTGTGGGGAAGGAGGAAGCTGGAGCTCACAGTAACACAGGGCAGGATGAGGCCCCAGTACAGTGCGCAGAGGGCTCTCCAGGGTGGAGCAGTGAGCAGGAATACCTCCTGTCCCTCGCAGCCCAGTATGAGGTGGAGCAGTACCAGGACAACTACAGTCTCCTGAGTGAGTACCGGTCTACCCACGCCTATTCTGTGCCTATCGCAGGTCACCTTTAGAGAGCACTGTCGCTGTCTGTGTGCTGGGGGAGGCAGTAAAGATATCCCACCTTAAAGAGCACGGTTATATGAACACGAACGGAGCTTTTAAGAATGTGCCTGGCTTTGAATCAGAAAAGGGTTGATATGGGAAAAACTGTGCAGACTGAAATATATGTATCCTGGAGAAGGAAAGAGTCGCCCTCCCAGATTTTTTCAAACTGTTACAATTTGGTGTTGCCAAAATGTAGAAAATGGGGGAACGATTGAGCGGATTGATCATTAAGTAAAATAATCATCCTTCCCAGCTTGTAAAGATTCTGCTAGGGTGGAGCCCTGTGTTCTGTTTGTGCTGGAGGAAAGCCAGAGGGCTGTTTCGTCGTCGTCTCCCGGGGCCCCCTAGTGGTGACCAGCCATAGAGAAGGAGGCGAGGAATTATCCGCTGTGCCACACGACCGACCCACAAGCAGCATAGCAAGAAGATCTGAACGTATTCCATTAAGTGCAGCGCCTCAGGTCACAAGAGCGCCCTCCGCCCCACACTCGTGATGCACATCCCAGCCTGCGTTTCCGTGCGGCTCGGACCCTAGCCCCTGGGGCCGGAGCGTGGTCCGTGCCAGAGGCGGTCCGCGCATTTCCGTCCAATAGCGGCGCACAGCACAGGGCCGTAGGCTCCTGCGTCAACGCCGCTGTCCCTCTCCCCTCCAGTGGCCGCTCCGGACATGCAGCTGCTCCAGCAGGTGACCCGAGGGGCCCACAGCCTAC